GTTCTGCCATATGCGACGGAAAATAGAACAGTTGATGTCACCTTACAATATGGAAGTTATCAGCATCATCAGTCTTTCTTCCTCGAGATAAAACCGTTGGAAGTACAGGTTAGCACTAGGTGTTCTTGCTTCAAATTTGCATAAATCTCCCAGCTGATAATTTTGCACGTCTTCCTACCAGGAGTTGATGACAATGGCCACACCGAGCCTGGATCCGATTAATACCATGGACCAAGTGATTCAACGAACTTTCAATTTGTCCTCGGACCACGCATATTCAGACGTTTCCCTCGAGATTTTGGACACCCACGACTCGATCCTCTTCCTCTTCAACGTGACCGCAAACGCGACGGTGACCTTCCGTAACGTCCCCTGCTCCACGGCCACGATCACGGAGGATCGCCGAGGCATCAGGGGGATTGAGGAACTTGATTCGATCACGTGGGTTCTCGTACGAATATTCGCAGTTTTTCCTCGTGCCGATGCTGAATAACGTGAATGCTTGGTTCGGCCTTCATAGAGGGAAACCTAAGGCGATTTCGCTGTCGCTCAAGTCTCTGCAGCCCTTCCTCGGCGGGGAAAATATCATTGTGAGTTATCATCAGGAAGTTATCAAATAAGTATATTCGTACTGAATTCTTCCTGATATCATATACAGGTGGAGATGACACTTATCTTCACTCTGAAAGAAAGACCTGAAGAGGTGAGTGATGCAAATTATTTAATCGATTCAAACCTCTTTCTAGTCCGTGATTATGTCTTCACACCATTTTTTTAATTGTTTAATTTTATTTTTATTTTTATAATTATATTTCATCATATTTATATTTTTTTTTTTACAGCCGATGGCCAGACTTTATCTTGGGCGAAGAAGCGGACCAGATTGGTATGAAACAACTCAAGCATCGCTCGTCCTCGACATTAAGTTCCCAGGTTTTGCAACTTTTTTCGTCAAGGCAGACTTGATAAAGGTGAAGTGAAATTCGGAAAGAGTGTCTTATTTCCCCTCTCGTAGCGTGGTACGGAGACAAAGGGTTCGAGATGAAGAACTTGAGTGCAATTATTTGGTACGACAGCGAGGTAGCGGACCTCTGGTTCTGCAAAATGGACATTGCAGCTGGAAAAGC